GCATGTCCGACGACGCTTTTCAGGGTGACCCCACGGGCGTGTTATCCATGCGATAATGGAATCGCACCAACTGCAGCACTGGGCCAGAGCGTCTACCCACTGGCTAGGCAAGGGCTCGGAGCTGGACATGGACACCTGCGACATCAAGAAGAAGCTGAAACAATGAGGAAGCAGGGTAGGTACCACGAGGCTGGCACGATCCAGGCTATCGCGCGTGCAGCCATGCGGACGCCAGACCGCAAGCGTCAGATATTTGGCAACGCTGACAACCACTGCGGTTGCGGTAGCATCGACGACGGCCTCCACAGAGCATGGGGCACGTACAGCCTTCGCCAGGACCACGATGACTACGACCGCACCGCAGCGCTGCAGCACAGAGCAATCGCAGGAAGTGAACACGTACCTTGCTTTTGGTTGAGAGGGCTGGTCCCACGGGAGTGGACGGTACCGCCTGACTGCGACGCAGAGGACAGCCCCATCGACATTGGCAAGCCTCTCGAAGCCAACGACATCTACACGGTCAGCAGCACAGACGGCAGCGGCGGAGTGCACTCCCAGGAGGCCTCCGAGGCCTACAAGGCCCGCACCAGAGAGGCGCCCAAGAGGCCTCCGAGAAGCCCAGAAAGATACCCCACGAGGCCCCAAGAGTCCCCCAAGAGGCGCCCAAACCGCCTCCAAGAGGCCCCCAAGAGGCTCCCCACGACACCCCAACACATATACAAGAGGCCTCAGACCCACAACCCAGGCACGGTGGCGGGATGGGCCGAAGGCCACTAAGATCCGCAGCCCCCTGTCGATTCATCGCAGGGGTGCCTGGCGTGCCAAATCCCATCGGCTTTGGTTCATTTCCAAAAGAACTCCCCCTGGGGCTTCGGTCCGTTCCGCCAGGGTCCCGGAAGGCCGCGTAAACCACCTCAGCGTCCACACAAAATCCTCCAAGACGGCTCAAGATGGCCTCCAAGATGGCCATGTTGGCCCAAGATGGCCTCCAAGATGGTCCCAGATGGCCTCCAAGTTCGCCCAAGATGGTCCAAGACGGCCCAAGAGAGTCCAAGACGGCCCAAGACGGCCCAAGAGGCTCCCCAGACGCCTCCAAGACGGCCCAAGGCCTCCAAGAGGTCCTCCAGGAGGGCCCGAGAGGCCCAAATCATTGATTTTCCTTTAGGTTTTTGAAGGATTTTGGCATTCGCTTCTTCTCGGCTTTCCAACGACCCAAGACGGCCCAAGAGGCCCCCAATATCGCCCCCACAGCGCCCAAGAGGCCTCCAAGATGGCCTCAGGACTGCCCAAGAGGCCCCCAAGACGGCCCCAAGAGGGCACAAAGACGACCCAAGAGGCCTCCAAGACGCCCAAGATGGCCTCTAAGACGGCCCTGGAGCACCCCAAGAGGGCCCCAAGTCGGCCCAGAAAGGCTTCCCGAACGGCTTCCGACGGCGTCAGACGGGCCAGGAGCCCACCAAGATGGCCGAAGTTGGCTCGAAGCTTGCTCAAGACGGCCCAACAGGCCTCCAAGAAGGCCAGAGAAGGCCAAAAACATTGATTTTCCCTTGGTGTTTGAAGGATTTTGACATTTGCTTCTTTTCGGCCTTCCGACGGCCCGATACGGCCCAAGAGCCCCAAAAGATCGCCCAAAGATCGCCCAAGAGGCCTCCAAGATGGCCCCAGAACGGCCCTAGAGGACCCCAAGACGGCCCCAAGAGGCCCCCAAGACGGCCCAGGGGGCCTTTTTAAGACGCCCAAGATGGCCTCCAAGACGGCCCTGGAGTATTCCAAGAGGGCCCCAAGTCGGCTCAGAGAGGCCCCCCAAACGGCTTTCGACGGCGTCGGACGGGCCAGGGGCCCACCAAGACGGCCGAAGATGGCCCTAAGATGGCCCAAGACGGCCAAAGAGGCCTCCAAGAGGGCCTCCAGGAAGGCCCGAAAAGGCAAAATGTATCGATTTCCCATGAGTTTTTGAAGGGTTGTAGCATTTGCTTTTCTTCGGCCTTCCGACGGCCCGAGACGGCCCAAGTGCCCCCAAAAGCTCGCCCAAGAGGCCCAAGACGGCCCCAAGAGGCCCCAAAGACGGCCCAAGAGGCCTCCAAGACACTAAAGATGGCCTCCAAGACGGCCCAAGAGCCCTCCAAGACGTCCTCCAAGAAGGCCCGAAAGGGTCAAAATGGCCTCCAGGCGGCCAAGACGACCTTCAAGATGCCCACGTGTTCCCCGAAGGCTTTCCAAACCGATTCGGGGAACACATGGTCCGATAGCTTGGCAGGTCTGGCCTCAACGTTCGGCCACATAGGCGACTCCAAAAAGGCAGGGGGCGGCGGTGATTCGCCGTAGTCGTCTTCGATCCGCCGCCCCCTGTCGATTCATCGCAGGGGTGCCTGGCGTGCCAAACTATTTCGGTTTTTGTGTTGGCTCTTGTTCCAAAAGAACTCCCCCTGGCGCTTCGGCCCGTCCCGTCAGCCACCCGAAAATTCCCCATTCCCGGAAAAAATCCGCCAAGACGGCTCAAGGTGGCCTCCAAGATGGCCACGTTGGCCCAAGATGGCCTCCAAGATGGTCCAAGATGGGCTCCAAGTTCGCCCAAGATGGTCCAAGACGGCCTCCAAGATGGCGCAAGAGAGTCCAAGATACCTCCAAGTTCGCCCAAGAAGCCTCCAAGACGGCCCAACGCGACCCAAGAGGCCTCTAAGAGGTCCTCCAGGAGGACCCGAAGAGTCCAAAATCATTGATTCTCCTTTAGGTTTTTGAAGGATTTTGGCATTCGCTTCTTCTCGGCTTTCCGACGGCACAAGACGGTCCAAGAGGCCCCCAAGATCGCCCCCACAGCGCCCAAGAGGCCTCCAAGATGGCCTCAGGACTGCCCAAGAGGCCCCCAAGACGGCCCCAAGAGGGCACAAAGACGACCCAAGAGGCCTCCAAGACGTCCAAGATGGCCTCTAAGACGGCCCTGGAGCACCCCAAGAGGGCCCCAAGTCGGCCCAGAGGGGCCCCCCAAACGGCTTCCGACGGCGTCAGACGGGCCAGGAGCCCACCAAGATGGCCGAAGTTGGCTCGAAGCTGGCCAAAGACGGCCCAAGAGGCCTCAAAGAAGGCCAGAAAAGGCCAAACGCATTGATTTTCCCTAGGTGTTTGAAGGATTTTGACATGTGCTTCTTTTCGGCCTTCCGACGGCCGATACGGCCCAAGAGCCCCCAAAGATCGCCCAAAGATCGCCCAAGAGGCCTCCAAGATGGCCCCAGAACGGCCCTAGAGGACCCCAAGACGGCCCAAAGAGGCCCCCCAAGACGGCCCAGGGGGCATTTAAGACGCCCAAGATGGCCTCTAAGACGGCCCTGGAGCATTCCAAGAGGGCCCCAAATCGGCCCAGAGGGGCCCCCCAAACGGCTTCCGACGGCGTCGGACGGGTCAGGAGCCCACCAAGACGGCCGAAGATGGCCCTAAGATGGCCCAAGACGGCCCAAGAGGCTCCCAAGAAGGCCTCCAGGAAGGCCCGAAGAGACCAAAATCAGTGATTCCCCATGAGTTATTGAAGGGTTGTGGCATTTGCTTGTTGTTCGGCCTTCTGACGGCCCGATGATGCTCAGTTTCGCCTTCTCGATCATCTGAGCCTTCAAGAAGACGCAGGAGGCCCCCAAAAATGACCCAATAATAGCTCCCGAGGTTCCAAACAGTGTCTCGAGGGCCCGACACGCAAGGCTCCCCAGAGGCTCCTCGGAAGGCCCAGGAGGCCTCCAAGAGGCGCTCATGGAGAAACACAGAGCGACATAAACATAATTTCTTGGAGGTCGGTGCGGATTTCCTGGACCAGCGCTGGGCCCCCTCCTTGGCGCGCGGAGCGCGCCAGGGGCGGCGCTGGAGGCGCCGCCAGGGGGTCCCAGCGCAGATCCCAGAAATCCGCACAGACCTCCAAGAAATTGTGTTTATGCCGTTGCTTGTTGTTTGTTTTTCGAGCTAAGGAGGCCACAAGAGGCTCCGAAGAAGCCCTCAACGGGCCTCCGAGAGGCCCCGAAGAGGACCTCCGAGAGCCACCGAGTGGCACACGGAGCGAGCGGGCTCTTGCCTACGACCCAGGAGGGGGCACGGGGGGAGGGAGGAGGAGGGAGGGGGGAGGGGCAGGGAGGGAGGAGGGAGAGAGAGAGAGAGAGAGAGAGGGTGAGGGGCGGGTGAGGGGGAAGGCGTGGAGGGAGGAGGAGGAGGAGGAGGAGGAGGAGGAGGAGGAGGAGGAGGAGAAGAAGGAGCAGCAGGAGTGGGCAGGGGGGAGGGAGGAGGGAGGGGGGAGGAGCAGCAGGAGGGAGGAGGGAGAGAGAGACAGAGAGAGAGAGAGAGAGAGAGGGACGAGGAGAAGCAGGCAGAGGGCAGCACCTCGTACCCGCGCTCCCTCGCCTCCCGCGACTGGAAAGCCTGGTAGAGCTGAGCCGACGAGGATGAGGTCGAAGGAGCGCTCCGCATCCCCGATATGCTCGGGGTCCCTTCGGGCCCCGTTGAAGCCTCTTGGGGGCATCTTGTGGCCTCTCGGGGGCCTCTTGGGAGCCGCCTCGGGCCGCCTATCTCGGAATCTCCCAGGCCTTTGTAAGGGCGAAATTCGAGCCGTCGGTTCCCAGCGACGACGCACGCGATGCCGGGACGGAGAAGGCCGGCCCCGAATCGCACCGCATCGGCGGTGAGGCGTGACCCGTCGGCCCCATCCATGGGCACCGTTGGGGAGGCCTGTGCGCCTGGCGGGGGCTCCAACACCGTTCGGGAGGCCCGGATCCTCGGCACGATCCTGGGGGAGCAGGAGGGTGCCGATGTGCCGCTGCCCTTCCAGTTCCGACCAGGACTCCGAGGCGACTCCGGCCGTGGCGACGAGGACCCCTCCCCCCCAAGGAGGCCCAGAACAGCGAGAGCGAGGGTGAGGGCGGCGGCGTCGGTGACTTTCCCCCCTGCGACGTCGACTCCGACCCCGCTCGGAGGGCCTTTTCTGCTCTCGCGCGCTCCATCGGGGCGCTCTCTTATCCGTGGGCGCCGCGCTAGCCGTGCGGCTCGCACTGGCAGGGTGGCAACACGTCGCACGCCGCCAGCGCGTCCTGCGACGCGGGGAGCAGGGTGCCGTCTGCCAGCACCAGCCTGGGCGGCGGGACGGAGGGGCCTGGACCAGAGAACGGGGTAGGGGCGCGTGAGGGAGGGAAGCGTGGAGGGAGGAGGAGGAGGAGGAAGAAGAGGAGGAGGAGGAGGCAAGAGGAGCAGAAGAGAGGAGGGGGAGGAGGGGAACGAGGAGGAGGAGGAGGAAGAGGAGGAGGGAGTTGGAGGAGGAGGAGGAGGAGGAGGAGGAGGAGGAGGAGGGCGGAGGAGCACGAGGAGGAGGAGGGCGGAGGTTGGAGAACAGGTCGGAGAGGGAGGAGAGGGTAGGAGGTAGGAGGTAGGAGAGGGAGGAGGACACAGGAAGGAGTAAATGGAGGAGAGGGCGGGATTCTGATGCGTAGGGCGCATGGGGACCTTCCAGGGGCCCCTGGTCACCACGGCTGGATCCGCCCCGAGATCCTGATCGGAACGCGCTCCAGGAGAGGTCCCAGAGGTCAGCCCCGGAGGCTCAGAAACCTTTCTAAAGTGGAGGCTGCACCACCGGTCACATAACTGTTCGGCTCATAAGGCCCAGGCGCCATGACATCCCCAGTGCTCATGTCGATCGTGCGGTCGGACCTAGGACAGAAGAACATCCTCCAATAACATGGCACCCTCTGCTGGCCGAAACACCCCAAACCGCAAGATCACTCGAGGGCACCCTCCCCAAGGATGCGCAAGAGCATCCAACAAACACGAAGAACATTAAGGTACCCTCCCCAAGCCGACCTCGATCTTGTACCCCAGACCCCCGACGTCATGGCTTTTTCAGAACGTCGGCCTCGAGAGGTCTCGACCCATTCCCCCGGGGCCAGTTTTTCATCCTGAGCCGTCTTTGGAACGGTCCCGCGGCCTGAGAAAGGCCCCAAAGGGGACGAAAACAGCGGAAAAGCCTTGCGTCGTGTTTTTTGTTTCGTGGCTCGAGGGGGGTCTGGGTACACCGATCCTGGGCCCAGGATCGGCGGCCATGGGCCTGGCCAGGATCGGTGAAGGTCTGTGCACTTCACCACCCGTCAGGCCACCCCAACCCGACCCGAGAGCCCCAACTTGCCCCAACCCGACCCGTCGTGAGAGAGGAGGAGGAGGAGGAGGAGGAGAGGAGGAGGAGAGGAGGAGGAGGAGGAGGCGGAGGAGGAGGAGGGGAGGACGTGGAAGAGCACGTGGAGGAGGAGGAGGAGGAGGAGGAGGAGCAGGAGGAGCGTGACTCGAGGGGGTCTGGGACCTCGGTCCGACCGTACCTTCGTCCGACCGTACCCAAAGGCGGACCACCCCGTGGGCCGGGCCCGTTCGCTCGTGGCCGGCAGCCGCAGCCGCCCCGCGGGCGCCCGCAGCCGGCGGGCCACCATGCGGCGCAGGTCGCCCAGGACGGCCAGCCCCGCCCCGGGGCGGAGGGGCAGCGTGAGGACCTCCTGTGGGAGGGCGGCAGCTGCCGACTGCCCACCAGACCACCCCAACCCAACCCTGCGACCCGAATTTCGGGTGGGGGGGTGCGGGTTCCATGTGTTTTCCCCAACCCAGTTGGGCTCACGCTTTTTCACTGATCCCCAACGCCCTGCCACTGGGAATGGAGAGGCAAGTTGGGGCTCTCGGGTCGGGTTCGGGTGGTCTGACGGGTGGTGAACTGCACACACCTTCACCGATCCTAGCCAGGCCCATGGCCGCCGATCCTGGGCCCAGGATCGGTGTACCCAGACCCCCCCCCTCGAGCCACGAAACAAAAATCACGACGCAAGGCTTTTCCGCTGTTTTCGGCCCCTGGGGGCCCCTCCCCTCCCGCGGGACGGTTCAAAAAACGCCTCAGGATGAAAGACTGGCCCCGGGGCAATGGGTCGAGACCTCTGGGGGCCGACGTTCTGAAAAAATCATGACGTCGAGGGTCTGGGTATCCGCCCTCCTGGCTTGGCCAAAAAAACTACACACCGATGCCATCGAAGCCGGAGCAAGTGGCTCTGGCGCAGATGCGGGCCCGCGGGGAGTCGCAGCGGTGCTCTCAACCGTTGGCGCCTGGGCGTAACAGCTTGCGCGCTGGGTGCAGCAGTTGCGGGTGGATGCAGCTGTGCATTAGTTTGTCTGGCAAGCAGCAGGCGTCGCCCGTGCAGTGGTTCGAGCCCCGCGCAGCAGTTGCGCACTGCTGCACGCCTCAGTACACAGGGAGTCTCGACCATGGCACCTCTCTCGCCGCCGACCCCTCTGGTGCCAGACACGGCTGCTCCAGCGGAGAGGTGCCGGGCCCAGGATCGGCCTGCCCAGCCTCGGTGCAGGGCAGACCAGCGCGCGCCACTGCTCGCAAAGGAGCTGCTCGCAAATGGCCTGGACCCACTGCATCAAGGCAAGCACTTTTTGCCGTCGGCGGCGAGGCAGAGGCAGCCCGCTCCAGCGCGTGGCCATTCGGGGCCACCGAGAGGCTGCTTGGCCGGCGTGCACGATCGGGGGGGAGGGAACAAGACGAGCACCGAGGCAAACACACTCCGTTGCATCGAACCTCATACACCTGTGGACCTCTGCGGGTCGACGCTTTGCGAGCAGTGGAGCGCGCGCCCGGTGACGGGTGCACCACCAGCGCCCTCCGATCCTGACCGCTGACGGCCGTGCAGACCACGCGCTGGCCGGCCTCCGCGCTCTGGGACGGCCACGGTGCTCCCGCCGGCGCCGGCCGGCCAAGACCACGACGGGCGGCCGCTGCGCTCTGCCGGCCCCAATGGGGGGCCTTGGCAGAGGCCGCCTGGGCGGGGCCCGAGCAGCTGGGGCCGAAGGCTCGCGCCGCATCGCCGATGCCTCGCCGACGCACTGGCGCTGCACCAGCGCCACACTGGCGACGTCGGCGATGCCTCGGCGACGCAGGCGTGGAGAAGCTCGGGCTCCGCACGGAGCCGCATCGCGGATGCATCGGCGAGGCGGTGCGATCCTCCGACCCCACCTGCTGCGACCCCATCCAGGAGGCCTAGACGTGGGACCGTCAAGAATCGGGTGTTGCAGGAAGTGGTCCTGGCCCCACTCTGGGGCCTCTCGGGCCCTCGGGGCCTCGTGGGAAGGGCCTCGGGAATCCATGATGCGCCTCCCTTGCAAAGCCAGGGCCACCTCTGGCGGCACCCGAAGGAGACGGCTCAGGGTGCAACGCCAGTCCTGGGGAAGGGGTCGAGGCATCCGGGGGCCCACGCGGCAAAGAGCAGCACGATATCGGGGGCTCGGAAAGCTGAGGATCAGGGAGGCCACAAGAAGTCAGACGGGCACTGGCCACGCCAGAGAGACGGCCAAAACGTGGCCGGGGCTGCGCGTGCTGCCAATCGCGTTACCCAGCCAAGGCCTGCTCGTCTCCTCGGCGCCCCTCAACAAGCTATGAGAAAGGCACTGGCCACCCCCGAAGATCTGGGCCGCCTAATCTCACACTTCGCGCTGCGAGAAGCACGAAGCACGATCACCTCCGCGCTCTCGCGCCGCCCCATGGAGGAAGGCGGCCCTGTGTGTGTGAGGCCTGCTTCCGCCTTTTGCTCCCGGGGGCCTGCCCTTTCGGTCCAGGGCCAGGCCCTGGGCTCTGCCGCGCCCTGCGGGACCCCGAGGGCCCCCGAGGGCCCCCTGCCCACACGGGGCCATCGCTCGGACGTCCATTCCCTAAGTTTTTGTTCGGTTTCGTGCGTGGCTTTTTCGCAGGATGACCCAGGATGCTCCTTAACAATCCTCGCCGAAGGAGAAATGCACACGTCCGAGCGATGCCGAGCACACGGGGCCGAGACCCCCCTCCTCGCCCGGTGCTCGCCGCCCGCTGACGCTGGGGTCTCGAAATCTCGGGCCTCGAGTCGGGTCGGCGGCCGCAGAGCGGGGCGCCGAGAGCCCGAGCCCCCTCGGCGGCCGCCGCCGCCGCTGCGACCGGTCCCCGCGGGACCCACGGCCTCGAGGAGGCCAGCCTCGAGGAGGAGGGCTCCGCGAAGCCCAGGCGCGAAGGGCTGCGGACACCTCGGGCCAGGAGGGGCACCCCTGGCAGCCCCCGAGCTGTAGAGGAGTCCCTCTCGGAAGGCCCAGAAGCACCCCGAGGGCCGTGCGTTACCGGTGCGCTCTTTGCACTTATGGTTCTATGGCCAGGGCCGCGAAGCGCGAAGCGCGATTCGCCTGGCGCCCCTGTGGGCAACCTAGACAAACCGCCCAATCGTTGCTAGATCCTGGCCGGGGTCTGCCCCCCGATGTCCCTCGGAGTTGCGGGAGCACCGTGGGACGAGTGCAAGGTCACTACGATGTCCAATCCCGGCGTCGGTATGCTGTACGACAGGCCCAGTGACAGTTCTGGTACGTCGCACTGGCCGAAGCTGTTGTCCCCGAACGCAACTGCGGCCCCGTCGCTCCTCACCAGCAGGGTGTGCATGCTGCCTGCCGCTGCAGCAGTGTAGCCCACACTCTCGGTACCCGTCGGGAGCGCTGGTACCTCGCACTGCCCCGCGGAGTTCTTGCCGAACGCCACGGCCCATCCGTCGCTTCTCACCAGCACCGTGTGCCGAGCCCCACAGGCCACGCCTGTGTAGGCAACGCTCCCTCGCAGGTCAGGCACCTCGCATTGGCCGTCCTCGTTGTCCCCGTAGGCCACCACAGCCCCATCGCTGCACAGCAAAACTGCGTGCACGCTGCCGGTCGCAGCGGCCACGTAGGATACGCCGGCTGGCAGCTGGGGGATCTGGCCGAAACTGGTGTGGCCGCAAGCGGCGGCGGAACCGTCGCTGAGCACCAGCAGGGTATGTCTGCTGCTCGCGGCCACGCCTGTGTAGGTGACCCCTGCAGGGAGCTTCGGGACCGAGCACTGTCCGACCTCGGTGGCGCCCTCAACGGGGTGGCGCGAGGGGGCTTGCTTCCAGGAAAGCGGCGGGGCTTCTGCGAAGGCAGGGGGGCATATCAGAAGCCAGCCCCGCTTCTGAGAAGCTTTGTTAGCAGCCTCCAGTGATGCGCCTGTTTTCCACCACCACCCTAAGTTGGAGGGGGGGAGGACGGGTACGACGAGGAGGAGGAGGAGGAGGAGGAGGAGGAGGAGGTGGAGGAGGAGGACCCCCCCCCCAACTGATGGTGGTGGTGGTGGTGGACAACAGGCCCCTCATCCAGGGCCCTCCGAGCCGGCCCCCGCCCTGCACGAAGCCCATCCGCCTACCTCGCAGGCCGCCCGCCTCGCGCCGCCCCCCGGTGGGGGTGCCGCCCGCGACCCGCCCGTCGCCGCAGGCCACCGCCTCTCCGTCGCTGCGGAGCAGCACGGTGTGGAGCGCGCCGGCGGCGGCTGCCACGTAGGCGGTCCCCTCCGGGAGGGGCGGCACCGCGCGCCGGCCGCAGCCCTCGTGCCCGCAGGTCGCGGCCGACCCGTCCGAGAAGAGCAGCACGCTGTGGAGCGGCCCTGCGGCCGCGCCCACGCACGCGGCGCCGCCCGCGGGCGCCGCGGGCACCTCGCGCCGGCTCGAGCCGCTGTGCCCGAACGTGACCGCCAGGCCGTCGCTGCGTATCAGAATGCTGTGGTGCTCGCCGGCGGCCATGGGCGCTGCACGCGTCGGGGAGCCCAGCAGGGTCTGGGGCACGGGGCCTGAGCCGGGCCGCGCGCTCTCCACTGGAGCACAGTGCAGGCGCCAGAGCTGCGCAGGACTGGCTCGCAGCATGTGCTCACTGCCGCCCACGGCGACGCGACTGCTTTCTAGCTAGCTGGGTTGCTGCGGCCACGTGCCTCCGCGCGCTCTCGGCGATAGCGTGGTGGCCGCCTCCAACCCAGCAGGCGAAGCGCGTGCGAGCGAGTCTCCCCTCAGCTGGACTCTTCTTTTCTGGAACATCCCTGGCACACGCTAGCGTCTAGTGTTGGTATTAAGCCCTCACGCGACCTGCAGGGACGATAAATATTCAAATGATATTGCTGCACCTTTTGAAGGGATCCGAAATCCAAAATCGTGGATGCTTCGGTGGCTGCACCGCGTGGTTCAAAGTTCAAATACGCGCAAAAGCAGCACTGCCACGTTGGCGAAACGAGGCTCCACGGGAAACTGTCAGGTCGGGGACTGCGAGTCGACAGGTATGGTGCTACCAGCCGCACGCGAGAACCGCCTGAAAGAGCTACTGAGTTGTGCAGGACCCACGCCGCTGCACGCCCGCCATTGTGCTTTGACAGTGGCAAGCACTTGCCAACATTACCACCTGGAGGCCGCCATTGCGGCTTGTTCTAGGCTGAAATGCGTTCGGCGATGAAAGAAAGGGCAATCAAGAGTTAAGTCGGGCCTGTCCCCCTACAGGGGGATTTTGTGCGGAAAATTAAAAATACTCAAAACATACTCCCAAAGCGCTCCAAAATGGTCAAAAAATAGCCCCCGGACTTTTGTATGACTATTTTTGAATATTCCCCCTGTAGAGGGACAGGCCCGACTTAAATCAAGAGCGAAGGCACCCCGTGCAGGCCCACCGTGCAGCCCGCGCTGCTCAAGCCCCGAGTCCGGCGGCGATGGCTGCCGGGGAGCGCAGGTCGAGCAAAGGTTGGAGGAGGTCGTGCCCTGCGTGCGGCGAGTCGCGGGGAAGACGCCAGCACTACAGACGGTAGAGGGAAACAATTACTGAACACTTGCCCTCCCCCCAAACTCGATGTTGGCACGCGCGGGGGAGACTGCGGTCGAAGTGCATCTCATCAGACCCACCGCCAACTTTGAACATTGGGGGGAGGGGGAAGCGTTGACGGATGAATGTGGCATGTGTTCGCTAATTTGTTCCGAGGCCTGGATCACGGCGGGGTCCTTGAGCTCTCCTGCGAGCTCCCCCTCCCTCGGCGGAACCGGTTGGAGGCTGGGCGAGGGCTGGCTAATCCGTGGCTGCTAAAACGGTCTTCCCAGAAGAAAGACAACAAATTCCCTGCATCGAGCTCAGCGCACTAAATAGTAAACGGGCTGCTTCCCGGAAGAAAAACACAAATTCCCGGAGCTCTGCTTTAGCAGCCACGGGTTTGCCAGTCTTCGCCCGGCTTCTGAACCAGCATGCCCGGAAAGAAGAGGGCATGACATGCCCGAGTGGTGATCACGCGCACTGGCACCCTATAGTGCTTGTCCCAGCCGCCGAAGCCGTCGAGCACGTACAGCCCGCCGAGCGCGCTCACGGCTGGTCAAGAAGGCGTCCTCTGGCAACAGCATGTCCACCTTGCCCCCCCACACGTCGTCATTCGAGTCCTCCTCCAGGACCACGCGCCCGTGGCCAGTCTTGACGCCGCTACGCACTGCCAGCGCCCCAGAGGATACGATGCAGCTGCCAGGCTCGTGCGCGATGGCCCGCTGGTACAGTATACCGGTTGGCGAGTTGTAGTAGATCTCATCGACGTCGGGCATGAGCTTGTTGTCCTTGCCTATAGCCTTTAGGCCCTCGTCGCGGCTGACGAAGTCGGCCCACGAATAGGTCTGGATCTCGTCCTTGCTCCAGCCCTGGATCTCCGCCCGGCGCAAGTGGCTCATCAGCTCGGTACGGGCACTGCCCTTAGAGGAACAAACTAATGCGTAAACATCATTTCTCGGAGGTCCGCGCGGACTTCTTGGATCTGCGCCAGGGGCGGCGCCGGAGGCACCGCCAGGGGCGCCGAGCGCAGATCCAAGAAAGCCGCGCAGAGCGCCGAAAGTTTCTGTTTGTGCCGTTGTTTCGTCTTCGAGCTGTCCTGGCTCGTGACGGATACTCTGTGGCGCCTGTCGAGGCACCGCGGCGTGGCGGCCACCCGATCCAGGGCTCCGGTACGAGCGAGCCCCCTCGGCCGAGCAGCGCCGCGCAGCGCAGCCATGCTGCTGCTCATCGTGCGAGACAGCATCGGCGGCCGTGCTCCTCGTGCCCGCGCGGCCTGCGCGAGCGGGCAGCGCACTCTCGCGCTGGAACAGAAGAGGAAACAACAGCACAAACACAAACTTTCGACGGTCCGCGCGGATTTCTGGGATCTGCTCTGAACCCCCCTCCCTGGCGCGCGGAGCGCGACAGGGGCGGCGCCGGAGGCGCCGCCAGAGGGGTCCAGCGCAGAACCAAGAAATCCGCGCGGACCGTCAAAAGTGTATGTTTATGCTATTGGTTGCTCTTCTATGGAAACAAGGCAAGAGAATGGATAGAGCCGAAATTGCTACGGCCTATGGGGATGACAGCTGTGCTGGTCCACCTGCAGGATGGCACACGACTGATCGTGATAGCTGAAGCGAATGCGCCCACCGTTATTTCTCGAACCTCAGTTGTCACGCGGCAACAAGTCGTGCCGTCGTTCAACTCTCCGAACAAGTGTGCCTGCCTAATATGTTGCTGACGAGTTCGCGCCCAAGCCAGGAAACGTCTCAGTTCCCACGAGGTTGGACTGCCGAACATTTCAGATCTCTGAAGATATCGCATTTATGTCGATAGGGTTACACGACACTGGCCTTCAGTTAGCACCATGACTGCGGGACCCGCACCGAATGCGACAATCGATTGTGCCACGCCGCTCGGAGGTGCTGACAGTACCGCGTCGGCATTAAAACACTGCGCCGAACGAGCCGAACGGACACGTGTCATCTCGACGCTGCAGCCAGAGAAGCCAAGTGAAGCATGACAAAGCGAAGTCGACAATGCTCCACTAGAAAGATAAGATGTATTCGCACGGGCGTCGTATGGCATGCTGGCGAGACGGTGTTCGAGCCATTGGTGATCCCCCCAATCGCGTGACGGAGTCACGGCATTGCTGCGGCAGCCCAACAGCATGGAACGACAATGTGCTGCTGCTGGCCCTCCGCATGTCTGCTCGTCTGCCCAATCGCCTGGCCCTGTTCGGGGAACATAAAATGTTGAGTGGGCCTTCACGGGCACCTGGGTGGAACCCCGCGGCTTCATCATAAACGCGAGTTCGACCAGCTTTCGTCTGAACTTTGACTACCCCTCTTCGCCCTTTCGTCCAGAAATCGTCCAGAAAAGTTTGGCTCGGACCTCGCTGGTGTTCATCGAGTTCAACGGTGCGCCCAATTCGGCCACTCGGTCTTTGACATGTGCTGTTTCTGCCTCAATTATGTTCATGAGATTGATCAATGCCGCATTGGGTTTACTAAACACCTGCTGGAAACGCATATTCACTGGACATGTCTGTGATAGCCTGAATGTTTGCTTAATTCAGGTAACTGGTCATGGCGCCATGGTTGGTTTGCAAAACTGCTTTGGCTAACTCAGCATCACATTTGCTAGTATACTGCCAAGCAGTTAACCGCAAATATTGCCAGATTAAATATGTATAAGATAACCCAAAAACACAAAAACAATAAACCAAAAAAACAACAGCAACAAAAACAGTGTCTCGTATCGAGGATCGCCTGCGACAGTCGTGCTGCCATTACCTCGCCCCGCTACCATGCGAATGTAACAAAACGACACAAATGAGGATCGAACGCTATATTGCCGACGAGACACGCGGAGGCACCATGAGAAGGAGCAGCTGGAACCGTACCATAGGCAGCGTGCACAGGAACATGGAGGGCTACATACAAACACCTCATCCTCCTCTTCTTCCTCCTCGTCCTCGTCCGACGACGACGACCGCTCGGGGCCATCGTCCTGCAAGGTCGACGGGTAGTCCCATTCCGGGAGCCCCCGGCGCACCCGGCACTGCCGCGCGGCCTGCGGCAGCCACGCGGCCGCCGCCGCCGCCGTCGCCGCCGCCGCCGCCCTCGCAGCCCAACGGGCAATCGACTTGCTCGCCCTCCGCCCACCTCCTCCACCACCACCCTCCCCCTTCCACTCTCCCCCTCCCTCTTCTTCCTCAATGGGCCCTCTTCCTTCCCGTCCCTCCTGCTTCCCTGCTTCCTCCCCCCCCGTTTTTGTTTGTCTTTCTCAAGGCCCAAGTGACATGTTGGACGGCCGGCTGCCTGAATCGACTCAGCCGTCAAGGAAGAAATCGGATTACTCATCAAGCTTGTGCTATCATTATCGGGATCGTCATTGCGTAGCACCTCGTGCACACAACCGCCTCGATGCACCAAGCAACTACTGAGCATATCCAGGCGCGCGTGCCACCGTCTGGCTGCACCAGGAGGTCCACATTCGCAAGGTCGCCCGCCAGTGGACATGTGACCAGTTTGATCAAAGGCCTCTCCTTTTCCATCGCATAACTCAAAATATAATCGGCTCGGACATTCCATGCCCGTCGCTGGCAGCAGACCATATCATCGATGTCACGCGCCGGGCGCCAGTCGGGTTGGAACATGCTGAAGATGTTGCGGGTGATGCGCTCGGACATGGGAGCCAGACTAGGGCCCGAAAGTGCGCTGTCCCCCCCATGGATCACGCCGGCCGAAGGCTTACAATCTGTACTAGCTGCGTCGGCCCCTCACTGTGCATCAAGAGCACCGTCGCCATGACAGTCAAGCAACTGTTCCACAAGATAGGTAGCGACTCCTCTCCGCAAAGGGCGGGTCTGGATCATGTCGTTCACGGACGCCTCAGCGTCAGCACTGAACTTGAACAGTCCCCACAAATCGCGAAGATGTGATTCGAGCTGTGGGAACCATGCTACCCACTCTGATTCCGTGGTGCATGGGTCTCGCTTACACCGACAGTCGAAACCCAAGGCGGTCACAAACGTATATTCCCATTCGACGCGATGGCCGTGACCGTCGTGCACCAAACCTGATTTCCGTCGTTTGCGCTCGCTGCCAAGAACTTCCACCGATTTCCCTCCCTTCCTCCCTTCTTCCTGCATCTCTTTTCCTCCTGCGACACCCCCAAACGTGTTGGTAGGGCGGGCCAGACGTTTCGACTGAGACATCCCCACCGTATATGATCATGAAGCTCGAAACTTGTAACAGCTTCACGGGATGGAGGGCGGGTCTTTCTCGACATGTGGTTCTCGCCTCAGCGCCGCACACATTCGTCTAAAGAGTGCGTGCCAGTTGCAAGGATTGAGGTCAGGTCGTTTCTCAAAATGTAGTGTAGTTATCGCCGTATCGCCGCGCACATTAGTTTTACAAGTTTGCAACAGTGTCGAGGATGGAGGGCGGTTCCTTATTCGAAATGTGTTTGTGGCTTCGTTCAAAAATTGTGCAACCGCTTCAGAGATTAGTGGTGTCGAAGTCCTAGGAAAGGTGTTCTGGCACGATTTAGGATTGCCAGGACGCAACAGATTATTTCAACTTTTCGGTGTTGAAGTCGCAGGACTGGTGCTTTGGCACGGTTTCGGATTGCCAGGAAGCAAGACTCACGCTGATCCGCGGCGTTGAAGCCCCAGACATGAATGGTCTTTCTGACACGGCGAAAGACCAATGGACGCCTGTCTCCTGGTAGGCCATTTCCCGCTGTGGAAACCATTCCGGTAGAGTCCCGTGGAGTGGGAACTTGGATGGCCGGGCTCACTGCAACATCGCTCCCTCCCTCCCCCTCCAGGATAAAGGGGCCCTGGGACACACAAATAAATACACACAAATTAAAGGATTCCCCATATTTTCCCATATTTTCTGAGTTCTTGTCTTCCCCCCCACTTCCAATATTTTCCCACCTTTTCCTGGGAATCGACGATTAATTGTGTCTGTGTGTTTTTTCCCCTCCTGACAGGAGGACGGCGAGGGCGAAGCCCTGCAGGCCCTGTGGCACCCTATTCCGCGACACCCTGCAGGGGGCGGTGCGGCGGGCGGTGCTGCCAGCGAGCCGGGGCTGGCACAGGCCCAAGGCGACGGCTGCGCCAGGCGGTGGTGAAAGCGCCTCTGCACATCGGCGCTGTCCGTCACCCCTGAGTCCGCCAAGGGGCACCGCAGCGCGGCCGCCTCGCGGCATCCAGGCTTGCGCCCTGCACGGTCATGCTGATGGCAGCGGAGGCCGCACCCGAGGCTTCTCTGCAGCAGCCACCGCGCAGGTCCAGCACGCGACGGCATTGAAGGGCTCGCACGCCAGCGCCCAGCCGCCGCGACCCCAGCCACCACCGCAGCATGGGCAACGCACTCAAGACGAGAGCTGCACCCAAGGCAGCAGAGGGCCGCTGCTTGCTGCGACTGCGGCTGCTCCTGCTCCTCGGCCGCCTGCGCTGCCGCGCCACTGGACGGCGTGTCGGGAGCAACGTCGAGCCGCTCCTCCTCGACCTCCTCGGCCATGCCCTCGATACCTCCTCCTGGAATAGCTGGCCCTCGCCCGCCTCCTCGCACACCGCCGCCTCCAGGAGCTGCACCTCCTCCTCCTCCTCCTCCTCCTCCTCCTCCTCCTCCTCCTCCTCCTCCTCCTCCTCCTCCTCCTCCTCCTCCTCCTCCTCCTCCTCCTCCTCCTCCCTCCTCCTCCTCCCCTCCTCCTCCTCCTCCTCCTCCTCCTCCCTCCTCCTCCTCCTCCTCCCTCCTCCTCCTCCTCCTCCTCCTCCTCCTCCTCCTCCTCCTCCTCCTCCTCCTCCTCCTCCTCCTCCTCCTCCTCCTCCTCCTCCTCCTCCTCCCTCCTCCTCCTCCTCCTCCTCCTCCTCCTCCTCCTCCTCCTCCTCCTCCTCCTCCTCCTCCTCTCCTCCTCCTCCTCCTCCTCTCCTCCTCCTCCTCCTCCTCCTCCTCCTCCTCCTCCTCCTCCTCCTCCCACCCCCCCCCTTTCCTCCGCCTCATCGCACGGGCTGACCGCCCTTCTCCCGCTCCCGCTCCCCACGGTGAAGAAGCGCCCACCCCCTCCCACGCACACGCCCAGACGTACCCGAAAGGGCGGGGCGACCTCCAGGAGGATGGCCCCTTCTCGCGCCCAGCGACACCCCCCCTCCACAATCCCGCGCGCGCCGCCGGCATTCTCCCTCCCGCACCCCCTTCCGCTGGGCTGGAGGTACCCCTAAACGGCGGCGGCGGCGGCGTCGATGGCGGCGACGACGGTGACGACGACCTCCACGCCTGGCCGAAGACATCCCGACGACGACGAC